GGAGGCGGGCACAACCCCGACGGGACGCGATGGTCCGGCTGAGGGTGTCAAGTGTGACGGATGGGGGACGTTGGGGGGTTTGGGCAACCGCCCCCCCCTCCAGGGCTCGGCTGCCGGATTCCTGCCCGGCACCCCCCAAGCCGGGCGACGGGGGCAGAAGGCAAGGCCAGGCAGGAGAGCTCAATGCAAAGTCTTTACTACAGGCAGGGTTACACGGAGGAAAAAGCAACAGCCGGCACTGAGAGGAGGGAGAACGAGGTTCATCCAGAAGGAAAGGTCGGTCTAACGGGAGATGGGGCTTAACTGCCGGTCCTCAGCCTCGCAGGGACCGTTTCTCTGCTGGGAAGAGAAGTACGGGGAGAGAAAAAGAACTTTTTGCCGTTTCATACGTGTCCTGGCAAACGGTCCGGAGCAGAGGCAGCTGGGGAGGAGCGGGCGTGCGGGAGGAGACGTCCGTCCCCGCCGTCCGAGGTGCATCGGGCGAAGGACGTGGCAAGGGAACAGGGGACCGGTGCCGAGGAGGGAGGGGGATACCAGCCTCCCGGGGAGGGTGGTTTTGTTCCCCAGGGGGACCCAGGCAGAAGTCACACACACCCCCCTCAGTCCACGAGCAGCGCGGGGCAACCCTCAGAGCAGGGTGCACATGCCCTTGCGCTTGATCTCGAAGGTGGCCGTCAACAGCCCCAGCTTCTGCTGGCTGTAGGGCGGGTAGCGCAGGGCGTTGAGGGCCTCCAGGCCCATGTTGCGGTGCAGGCAGCCGCGGTGGTGGGTGAAGGTGTCGAAGGTGAACCGGCCGTGGTATTTCCCCAAGCCGCTGTTCCCTGTAACACACGGCACGGGTCCAAACTTACTACGGGACCCAGCTCCTGCCCAGGCCGAGCGTCAACAGCGCAAGGAAAACCTTACAGGCTTTCCTCATGCAAAGGCTCCCGCCGCTGAGCAAGGCAGACGTGGTGGAGGAGATCTCGCCCTGCCCTGCACCTTTCCCAGCCCTACGGCTACTCAGTCCGGCAAAGCCTTCCGCAGCTCGCCGCTGTTTGGAGGTCCAAGTGCATCATTTTTACTGGCCTACTTTTATCTACGTAAGCTTTGCTGGGTCTACGAGGCTCGATTCCCCTCTACGACCTCTACGGTGCTCTACCATATCGACCCATGGTTAGGAGCTACCAGCGTGGCCCCTACGAAAGTCAGCTTCTTCCCGGAGCTCTTAAAAATCGGAGCCACGTTGGCAGCACCGGTTCTCCCGATTCCTGTGGCTGGTTTAAGCTTGAGGTTGCGCATGGCGGTTAATAGCCCAATGACTTCACCTCCGAGCTCCTGTGGAAGCTTCGGCGAATGCCATCTCACCCCGATGACTTCAGACCCTTCACCTGACCGGGCTGCTATAAAATGGCTTCACCTGATAATTTGAGGCAGTTTGTCTGAATCATTTCCATAAAGATAAGTTATGGTATGGGAACCACCAAAAATTGTTCCCCAAGCCACAGTCAGGCGAGGAATTAATTATGCTTTGCTGTCGTGGTGTCCTGCTTCGTCTGAATCAGCTGCCAGCCCTGACAGAGATGCTGACCACGGGCAGCGTAAAACTGAGGTATTTTCCCCCGAGAATATTCTGGGGAAGGAAGAGACCAGGAGATCGGGGAAGTATTCCGGGGAAACATCGCCAGAGGCTTCCTGTATTCCTGTCCTCTTCCCTGGACAACGCTACAGGCAGGGTCCAGGGCTGAGCAGACCTCGCTTTTCACCCGAGAAAACAACTGTTGTTGCCCCTGGAGAGGGGAAACTCTTCCTCCTTGCTGAGGAGGGTCTCCAAGTCGCCATGAGCAGATTTCACAGAGGTTTATAAGCGTTTTGCTCCTACTATTTAGTCCTAAAAGGCAGAATGAATGTACAAGCCCGCTCCGGAGCGACGTTAAGGGCTCCTATCCGGCACCACGCCGTCTGCAGGAGGAAGCTCGCCTACCCAAGAGGCGCAACGCCTCGGATGTGCTCCCAGACGAGGAGCGGAGTGACGGACAGACCAAAGGGAGCAGCACTTGATGAGATCCCAGGTAAGCCTGAGCAGGGCAGGAACCAAACCCTGGCAGAAAATTCACTCACGGTGCCCGTGCTGCTCAGAAATACCAAGGAAATACCCGAGTGGTACAAACTTCTCTACCTTTTACATGAAGCACTTCCACGGACACAGGGAACGCTGTGCTTGGGGCACCAAGCACGGAGAGGAGGAACCTCAGGGTGCTCCACGCGTGCTCAGCAGAAACGGGGCTGCAAAGCCCACGAGCTCAGCCCCGGTGCAGTGAAGCAAAGGGCTTCTGCTGGGGTCCTATCT